CAAAGGGGCGCATTACTGAAGACTCTGGTAACGAGTTAATACAGAAGGATCACTTAAAAAAGGGGTGCTTAGAACACTGAGGAAGTGTTTGGCAAAGGAGGTTGTTCCCAGGTATCTGAAAGAGTAAGGTCCAGGGATAATAATGAGGGGCGAAAAGGGGAAGGAAGGACAGGAGAAGAGACCAATCTAATCACCACACAAGAAGCCCACAGCAATGGTTTGACAATGATGGCAGCTGCAGGCAAATTCTGGAGGAAAAAGGACAACAAATCATGTGAATTACAATGCTGCAGATCAGAAATGATATCATCATGGCATGATGTCTGAAAGAACTGCATGCCATGAGATTAGTTGGTGATGTCACAAAGAGAAAGGATGGAAAGTTCTGTCTTCCTGAACTCTGTGTCCAAGGTAGCAGTGAGGTGAGCAAGAGGACACACCAGGGAAAGACAGCAGGGGAGAAGTCAGAGATGGGGGTAACTTTGGAAATCATCCACGGGTTGGTGACAGTGCAGTGTTTTCCAAACTGAGCATCATAAAGTCATAGTCACCACCCACAGCTCTCCAAGGGCTCCTGGCTGGAGGGGTCCCCATTAAAAATGCAGTCTTTATGAGCAGAATATTGCCATGACCTCCCCTGTTGGCCTACCATAAAACAGTTCAGTAGGTGATGCTTTTGAGAGAGAAAACCAAAGAACTGAACCTCAGGGAACAGCATTGGGAAGTGGATAAAGAGCCATTTAAGGAGACACTGAATAAACAGTAAGCAAAGTAGGAAGAGAATCTAACCCTGAAAGGCAGGAAAAAGAAAGCCTGCCGAACCAAAGGCAGTCATGATCCCAAAACCTTGAGGACAGAAAGCTGTCCCTTTGCACTAGACTGAGACCGCTAATGATCAATGTGGCAGCAGCTTCACTGGAGCTCATAGTAGAAAGGTGAAGGAGAAGGAAACAGAGAGAGAACTAGAAGAAAACCATGGGAGAGCCACCACAGAAAAACAAAAGGAATGGGGCCCTAATTAGATAAATATGATATGAGCAGAGTTTTCCATTTGTGTTTCCCTCGAGAAAGAAGACTGCCAGGAGTTCGAAGGGAAAGGTAAATGAGTCAGAAAGGAAAAAGGAAAAGACTTGAGAAAAGGACCTCAGAGCAGAGGGGGTGCAACACAGGAGGAAAAAAGAGTGAATTTAAGATTTAACATCACAGAACAGAGACTGCGAGTCAGGTGAAGAAAGAAATGGTGGAAGTAAGGGCGAAGAAAGAGAAAATGGCAACAAGGTCAGAGGAAAAGGGGAAAAAAAGAAAATTAATACTTGATGCAGCCGGTATTTTAGTCTAGCTTCTTATGGAATGAGCTTTGTGTAACCCAGCTGTCTGTAAGCGAGGTTGCCTCCCCATCCCAACAGCTTTTGAACATGCCGGTCAGCTTTAGTGAAACTGCAAATCTCAAAGAAAATAAAGTTCTTTGAAATTGCATGGAGATGTGTGTTGAGATAAAGGAGAAATAAATCTGTGTTTCCTAACTAGACGAAAGGCTGTAACATGAATTCTTCCCTATTATTGCTCCCTGATTCACCAGAGAATCAGCATGAAACTCCAGCTCCATACCGAGCAGAAGCCTTCAATGAAACACAGACTCTCTAATAAACTTGGGTTAACCAACTGAAAGGCAGAGATCCACAGGAGACAAGGCTTCCCTAGTGGCAGTCCTCAATGCTCAGTGCTTATTTAAACTCACAAAGCAACTGGCTAATTTTTGTATGAAGGCAGCTGGAGAGAAAGAGAAGCATGAAGAACTGATATTGAGAACCAAGGGTGAAGGCAGACTTGAGCACAGGCAGGAGCCTGGATGGTTAGAAGTAAGAAGTACAAGGTGGCAGCTTTCTTATAGTACAGGACCAAGAAATGAATGTGTGAAAGCAAGTGCAGAGCAAAGATGAAGGGAAAAAAAACCCAAAACCAAACAGTCCAAAAAGGCTCAAGAGAAAAGGGTAACATTCTTCAGAGAAAAAGTAGGAACTGGCAACGCAGAGGTTTCTGAGGCTGTCTCTGGTGGTGTGGTCACGTACTGCTGTCATCCAGCACATCACTTCCATTGACCTGAAAGCTCAGACAACTTTCAACAGAAAATGACTGTCCACCAAAGGGACCACTAATTGACTCAGTGGTCTCATCGTGTTCTTTGCCAGTTCCTGGCACTCACTGAGGAAGTGGATTCAGTAAGTGGAAGAGATTAATCAAATCCTAGTGCAACCTGTTGAAGGGCTAGCATCAACTAACCCAAATATTACCAGTCTCAAGCAGCCAAGTGATTACTTTGGAACCTTGTTATTTCTCATAGACTGACAGGTTTTGTATATAACTAATCTTTTTTTTTTTTTCTCCCTTTTAACAGCAGCTATTGCAGAGCGCTGAATTACCCTGTCCTGCAAAGCAGCAAATAAGTGAATGCGGGTTTTTTTGTTGTTGTTGAATAAGGGCTAACACATTACAAGATGGATTTCTTCAAGTAATTTGACAAGCAGGCCTTGCTTTAATTATTTATGAAAATGCTTTGCAGTATGCCAATACCAGCCATACAGTATATTTCTGCATATTTTTCAAAAATAATGAAGTCTTAGGGACATGTGACCTTTCTGCCACAGTCTGCAATTACATCTGTGCTTAGAGGGAACATGCGGGTGAGCAAATGACACCACCACTTGCATGTTAGCATCTGAGTATGATGAGATTTCCTATTTAATGAAACCAGCTACAGCATATTCTTACCAGTTTTTCCTAATAGACACTTAAATTTTGATAGTTTTGTGGCATCTAAAAGAAAAAAATACAGACATGATATCCAAGGAAAACCTCAATATCAGAAAGACATTCTGAAACTGAGGTGAGCTTATATAGTTACTTTCACTACTTTGGTATCTATAATTACAAAATTGCAGGGAGGGGGGAGCCAGACTCCAGTCCTATAGTTTTTTGCCTAATGGCACAAACTCAGGACTATGATCTGTCACTATAAAAGGCCAGTAGCATGGAAGAAATTGCAGGTTCAAAGGATAAAGTAAAAATGGCAGTACAGTATCTGAAAAATATTATGACATTTCACAAAAATAAACCAGAAAAATAGCTTTTATTTATTCTAAAAACTTCACTTACATGGATATAGCACCTGTCACATTTTTGACATGAATTAGTATCTTCACTGTACTAAGCACTATGCACCTATTCTAATTTGAAGGATGAAAATCATAGGTCTTTTCTTTAATTGCTAAAAAAGAACATTGCACTAGGGTGCCATAACTAAGGAAGCTAACTGTGAGAACATCTGTCCTTTGATACTTTTTTTTCAGCATTTTTCACACTACCTTCTTCCTTGCACGCACAACATTTGCTGTATGTACACCTCTAATTATCGCCATACACACATGGTTTAGCTGACATTGCTTCTCTGATGTGTATCTTGTCTTTAGACATCCCCTACTTTAGAACAGTGTATCATGTTACTGCATCCTATGGATAGTCAGTTCACGCTCTGACAATTACAGCACTGGAAAGTAGCAGACGCGCCAGCGCTGTGGTCCACCAGACTAAATTTTGTGAATACCAACCTGCTAATCCTTAAATTCCCAATTTGATTTGAGATTTGTTAGATAGATAGAGACTATGCCAAAAATTTCCAGATGATCAGATCCTTTTCCCACATTCCACCCCCTGGATACACAGAGGTAGCAGCTCACAGAAAAAGCCAGGCTGAGAGCAGACAACGGCCATGTGAGTTCTCAGGGTATACCTGACCTACAGATGGACAGTGAACAGTCTTAATGTGTTTTCACTTTATTCTTTGATTATCCCTGCATCTATGATCGCATTCTCATGATAGTCAATACTTACGGAAGTCCCTTAAAGACATACTTTGTTGGAAGTCATGAAGGGAAATAATTCCAGGCTTGATGGTTGTTTACTTGGCTTTACTCATGCATTGGAATTCATTCACACAAGAAAAGTACAGGCATCTTTGGACACAACCAAGTCACATGAAATTTTATTGCTTTGCCCCTCTCCAAAATGAAATGCAGTCCTATAAAAGAAAAGGGAGATGGTGGCACTCACCTTGCATCCCTCACAAGCACTGACACCATAGTGATATCCAGATGACTTGTCCTGACAGACAAAACAGGGCTTGTAAACACGAGGGGGTGGAAGCGGTGAAGGAGGGCTCGGAACAAGTTCCTCAGAACTGGTGCTCTGAGTTTCGACTGCTACAAAAGAAAAAAGAAATATAATTTAATGATTCAAGAATGAATTTTAAATTACTCATTATTTACTGTATTATAACTATCAAACTGGCCCATCTCTATCTTTGGATAATAAACATTCATTTGTATTTCCTAGCAAAATTTAAGAGGAACTAAAGTAGTGCAAGTAGTGACAGGACAACATGCTATAGCCTCAGAAGTCTATTTTTAAGTACCTGATCATTTTTCATGATCCAGCTACTCTACACCGCAAAAGCTTCAGCTTACATCAGATATATGGCTTGAATCTCCTACCAGGCTCCAAAAATGGACAACCTTGGGCTCATGTTCTGGTTTTAGCCTATTGAATTGCATGGGATGTGTGTGTGCACACTGGATATCAGCCTTCAAAGGGAAACTGCACCATGTACCCTTCCAATTGGTACCTCATTTTGGGAAAGCTCTTGTATCTCTTGCCTTTTTCTACAAAAGGTAACACTTCCAACATGCAATTTTGCCTCAACAGGACAGGGGCATGCATCAGGACATACATAAAGAGACAAACAACTAAGTATAAGACCCGAAGTGAAAATTACTTGAACAAGTCTTCTTTTCTTTCATCAGTAAAACTAGCTCAACCCAGCAACACTTCCTTACCTAACTATGGATCTGTAACATCAGGAAACCTCTCTGAGAAAAAGCTACTTACACATTAATGACTCCACATCCCTTTATTGCCTTAATATTTCTAGATGGTCATTTGTTTTGAACCTGCTGAAAAGCCAGTTATCCCTTTCAGGGAAAGGATGTGAAAGCTCAACGATGTGAGATAAAACATGCAAACTACATCTTTCCAAAACATCTGCATTAGTTTTCTGTGATATGCTGTCATCATTCCTCACATTTATTGTAGCTGTGCAATACATTTTCATGTTTCACCTAGCCCTTCTGCTGCTTCTCAGATAAATCCCCCTAACTTTTCAACAGATATACAGAAATGACAGGATCTGTGAACTCAGATCTATCCAGAAACATTAGGCACTATCAGCAGAGCTAAATCTCAAGAGTACTAACAGCAGGCCCTAAAGAATATTACTCAATGGAAAATCTTAGACAAGATTTACTGTACATGATATTTTTCAGATTACAAAGATGATACATTTGTATTAAACTCATGATTCATTGTCAACTCATGTTCCACAGAATTCACAGCGGGCATCACGGAGCACGATGCAACTTCTGATTACTTGTGAGAGAAGGGCCCCTTTCTGCCATTTTTACTTGGGTTAAGCTACTATCAACTTCAAGGACGGACATTTCTTGAGAAGAAAATAAATGTTAGACTGAAGCATTAAAGGCTCTGATTCTAAGCAAAGAAATATTTTTCCAACAGGAACAATTTATTTATATATCTAACAACAACGAGGCTGTGAAAAAACAGAAAAGTAACGTAATTTATGTGGCTCCATAAATTGTCATGTTAAGACAATGTCCAGAACTATACTTATCTTTTTTAGCATAAAATACACTGACCCTCGGCAAACCTAAAATCTTCAGGTTCCTACCGCACCAAGCAAACTTTAAAGAAGTTTTTTCTTAATGAAAACAGATATGAGAACAACCATTTCTTTTCAACAGTAATTTTTGGTATTTAAGAGAGACAGAGAGTGCTCTGTTATTGATCTCTGCACAACCATCCTGCTTGAATCAATAATCTATTAGTACTTTGAAATTAAAGTTAGATTCATCAAATGCCCTTGAGAGGCCTCAAACATTCTGTGCCTTATTTTATGCTTGTAACATGAATTATGGTGGCTTCCAATCAGTCTGTGGAATGATAAAATTTTAGCTTTAAAACTCTAACACCAGCAGACAATGTGTTTTGTATTAGCTCGTTCAACTCTCCCAGTCCATCTAAAAGGCAGTTATTAGGCTCCCCATGGGAGAACAAGGTTGTGTCATTCAATAAAACAACCGCACTCCTGCGATCCTTCTGTGATCTCAGTTTGGGGAAAGCAGTCTTTGAGGAATAATACTGATACTTTTCTGCTTTTTTTGATAATTTCATCCTAAACAAGCACCAGCATCCAATGGTAATGTTCAAGTCACGAACCATAGTACAACAGAGGTCTGTCAGGCACCGGCCAAGCACCAGGAACTTGCGATACCCAGAAGAGATTAAGAAACCAGCTCAGTTCCTAAGTACACAACATAGCCAGCAACTGAAGAGCTGAAGGTGCCACTAAAGAATTTTTTTCTGGACAATTGGAAAAGGTATATGAGAAGGAAAGAGCCAATGTAAACCAGAAGGCCCTCCTTAAAACACCCATATATATATATATGCACCACTAAAGGGGCTTAATCTTTTCAATATGATACTTGCATCAGCTGAACAACTGTCTAGAGAGTTCGATTTTTTTTTTTTAATAAGAAAATCCAGTTTGAGAACATTCACTTTTGATCACAAGCAAGATGTACAGCTTTCTGGAGAAGGCTCAAACTCAGGTTACACATGTTTGACTCTTACTCTGGCTTCTGATTTACTATTCTTCCTTGGATTTAGCTTTTTTAACTGTTTTATTTAAAAATGCATGTGCTGCCAGCACGGAATTGCAGAAATCCGGTGCAGGCATCTGTAGCAATTTGTGCTCAGCAGGTATAAGGCATTATTTCTGTATCATGTTGGTGGCTAGTGGATGCACGACAGCAGAAGACTCTTCCATGCACATCTGCATGTGCATGGTGGAAAAAAGAGAGGATGGTGGGCGGGCAGTTGACATTTCCAGAAGAGGCATTTTTAAAGCAGTCTTACAATTTTAGGAAGAATTCCAAGAAATAAAAAAAAAAATAATGAAAAAAAAGCTACTTCTTTCCATGCCCTGCTCTCTTGTCCTGGGGGATGTGACACTTCAGGGTCCCTCCTCACCTGAGAAAACAGAGCCTCAGTGCTGTCACCCAACACCTGAATGCCGCTTGAGCACACAGGGACTCTCAAACAATCGGTCACTTCACAATTCCTAAGATGTCTCAAATATTTCTAAAGGTTAGATAAAGCAGCAGATAAGATCTTTAAAAGCACAGCGTGCTTTGCGAGAGCTAATTTACTGCCAGCTAAGCCATGTTGACAGATGGAGGAGGTATTTTACTTTGTGACCAACTAGAAGCAGGCAGGCATTATGAAATGCCTTGCCTTTCGCTAGAAACTTCAGATTATTAAGCTTGTATGTTAATGCACACTTTGGACAGTTGAGTCTTAAAAGAATAAGAAGTTGTAAAGCAAATGGCATTTCCTGGATAGCCTCAAGGGAATTTTCAATACTGAGCTAAGGGTCCCTGGTGGGAAGCAGCAATTTCAGCTAATTAGGGTGAATAGCAAAGTGTTGCAGTTGGTCAAAACATTCTGTTAACCCTCATTTTTGTTGGCACCAACCAGAGTCTGGATTTTTTGCCTTTTTTTTTCTTTTTTTTTTTTGTGAATTCACTGCAGGAGTGCAAGGCACACAGCTCACATACATTAGGCAGAAAGTCAAAGGAAACGCCAAAGTTCAACTAAAGTACAAGTAATTAGAACCAGATTCTCTGCTGCTTGTATGTGTGCATTTGATTGTAGAAGTTATTTATAAGCCTCCAAACATTTGAAAAAATAACTATATACTGTAGATCATTTAATTTTTATGTCTCGTCTGGAAAAAAAAGTCTGCTTTTAATCATCTTCCAGGAAAGAGCCAGGAACTGGGAAAGTGGGTCTCAATTGTTTCAATACAAATTTCTCTCTTTCATGTGCCACATAAAACTATACTATAAAATTAAATCCAAAATATCATTGACTCAACCCCCCCCATCCAATTTTTTTTTAATAAAAAACTTCTTTGAATTTGTCATGCTTAAATAGTTTGCATTGTTACGAGGGTTGGTTTTTTTTTTTTCCCCCCTAAACTGTTGTTTGGAAGACAGACAAGGGGAGAAGGGAAGAAAAAAAAAAAAAAAAAGTGAGAGAGAAAGAAAACATTATCGTGGAGACTTGCCAGCCTTGACTTAGTAACCTGGCCATGACCCTCCAGCGAGTGTGTGTTTGACCCGGTCACACATGACTCTGGCTGCGTACTGTTGCTGGGTTATAAGTCCCAGATATTTTTACCATATATACAACAGGTGGGGATCACAGACAACAGAAAGAGGAAAACAAAGTCTTCCCTTGTGTGAAGACTCCCATTTTCTCCCTTGCAAAGAAAACAACACAAAGCAAAGAAGTCCTGCTACTATTTCATGTATCGGCGCTCGCTGGGCTGGATCGTTGTTTTACCCGGGGGGTTGCCGGCACGGAGGTGGAGTGGGCTGAGGGCAAGAGGATGGAGGAAAAGGCTCAGGGGAAGCCATGTGCAAATGTTCATCAAGGCAGAACGAATTACCAAACTGTAACATCGCAATCACAATCAAAAAATCTTTCCTCATAGGGCTGGGTATGCATCGGGGTTCAGGAGGGAATGCTTTTTATTTTGAGTGAACATACCCAGATTAAAATATAGGCTGCCACAACTCCAGATTGAGATATTATTATCAGGATTTTCAGCAGTACTTAAGGAAGCATGTCTTCCACATTTGAGGGTTTCTTTTTTATTATTTGCATCTTCCTAACTGTACAAATTTGCCTTAAAGCCATGTTGTTAAATATAAGTTATTCTCTTTTAATTCTTAATGACAATTTTTCCAGCATTAATTTTAATCAAGTCACAGTTAATCTCTCCAAGACTGTCTAGGCCTTTTAAAAAAAAAAAAAGGTATTATTTGGGCTGAAAGCCAAAAATACCTCTAAGTCTTCAGTTTTGCTTTTAGTCTGAAAAGGGGCATTCCACTTTCAACAGGGACATCAGAAGATGAAACTTTGTAACTCAGTTTCTGCTTGGGGGTGCCTGATGCTCCTGTTATTTTAAAACCTAAGAGAGAGTATCCCACGGGCTTTCACTACGTGCTGCTCAGGATTCCTACTGTATGATTAAAATAACAAAAAACCTAGCAAGGAGTAG